TCAAGTTTTCACAGCAACTCCACTAAGCACACGGCAGGATTAGTGATACACGGGGCCCGCTAATTCTACAGCACAGACTCTTAAACAAATGCCCATAGCACACTCCACAGCACAACCATAACTAAAAGCTGACGCTTACAGGTCAGCCTTGAGGTCAGCATGTTCTCCATGAGGAATTTCCTCAAAGCCTCTCAGACCACACAATAATTTCTCTCTTATCTTTTGAGAAAAAAACAGAATTCAGTCTTCTTTAACCGCAGAAAATCACTATTTAATGTCCTCATATGCTCAACCTACTTTTGTCCGAAAACCCCAGCTCTAATAAGGTTTAATCGTGGTTATTGTTTACTCTATAAGTTCCTGTTTTTGAATAGTGATGTATCTCCCCAAAAAGAAGGTTCAAACTATGAAAATGGCATGCTGAACCATCCTCATGGAGAGACACCTAATTTATTAACATTCTGGCCTCAGGGTGGGAAGGGCACATATCATAGACACGCTGAGGTTATCTAACGCTTCAAAAAAACAACAATTAGTCCCATAACAGGCAAATAAAACCAAGATAATTCCACTGCACACAGAGCTTCCATCAAGCAAGGCAAGCATAATGATCCATAAGTGATATCCGATCATCATATATTGATTGTGCTGTTTTCCATTAATCTTACATTAACGGAAACATTTAGCAAGTTTTTGCTCCAAAACGACAACAAAAAGCTTACTATAAACCGTTTTGCAAAGCATCCCCTGGAGTACATAATCCCCTACCTTCCATTCTCATATTGCTTGAGTTGTGTAATCCATCACAGTGAACATTTAGACTGCTCTGAATGTTTGGAATGGGATTACACAACTGGACTAAATAAACACTTAAGCTTCAAGAGTCTTTCTTATTTCTATACCACATATGAATGGCAGCTGATTTTTTGCCTTGACAAAATACATTAGAAAATCTAAAATGTTGCAGCATTGTTTACTAAATTGTTGGCAATAATAATATGAACTGTATGTGATTTAGTAACAAACAAAACAAAACAAAACATGAAACTTACATTCATCTCAAACACCCATGTTTGCAGCACACTAACACAGCCTACTATTTTCCTCACTGTTTGAGTTATTTCCAGTGAGGTAAACCGCGTTATGTGTGATCGGAAAGTCCAAGTGGCATGACTCATAAAGACAATAACCATTAACTCATCAATGATTATTCTCTCTTGTATGAACTTGTTCAGTGTGGACGCACTGTTTCGTATTAATGAGATATAAATCAGAATCACAAGACTAAATAATTAGATTCATACTTGTGCCTGGACCTTTGCAGTATCCTTTTTCAAGTGTTGTGAGCTGAATGAATCCACATCGAACTCAATGATATGTTTCATTGATGAACAAATATAACATACTGGGTCATTTTAAATAATCTTTCACTGCTATTCTTTTTCTAACTAAAGAGCACAGTTACTGTACAGGCCTACTGCAGTCCTCTTAACTATGGGTGTTCATTGCAGACCTTTCTCTGCAGCCAGTGCATCAAATCAGACTCATTACAAAACCACAAAGCAAAGAGTTGCTGTTCACAAGATATAATATAGATACGAAGGCAGGGGTGATGTTTCACAGAAAAAGTGGAGGAGCAGCTAAACTGGAAGGTGGGGGAGAGCCGTGTGTGACGTGAGATTCATGTTTTGGACTGTAAAGTGATGAAGTGATAAGCAAGACCTCAAATTCACTTTCTATTCCGATTAATACTATGTCAAGCTTACATACGGCACTTTGAGACATGGGTTGGAATTTTCTTCATGGGTTGGAATTTTCTTCATCATATATACTCACAGTTAGATAAGTGATATCTGAAAATCTACTGCTGGCACTGTTACACAATTTGTTGGCTTGAGTTACAAAAGGAGAAGTTTTGATCTTTTGTCAGATTAATTTGCCCACATGGAAGGATGAGCTGAACATCAAAACTTCATTAAAAACAAAAAGATACAACCACATATCACATTTAAATACACTTAAATGAAACACTGTACTTCTTCATTCAAAAAAAAATCAGTAAACTGCATGTAAGCTACAAGAGGAAAGCTTTGAAAGACTCACGAAAATTTTGTCTGCTTTGATCTATTATTGATTCAGTTGAAGGATGGAAAAGGGACAGGCCAGAAGAGCTGCTAACCCTGCCTAAAGGTGGACCAGCTCATCAGGAGTTGACAGGCCTGTGAGCCACAAAAAAAAAGCAAATGCAAATGCACCCTGCACAAACCCTCACTGTCTTAGATCACATAACTCAGGATCCAAATTTAACTGTTCCTGACCTTTTTATCTTGCAGCTGATGAATTGTGGAGCTCCATGACAAACCCTGCTTGGCCAACCCAGTCTCTATTGTCTGATATAGAGCAACAAAACACTGGCAGTAGACAATGGAGGGTCACTGCAGAGGGCTTGAAATAATCATAACAATGACAGCTCCCATAATTATAGTTGCAAAGAGACGCCCAACTGTAGCGCCCAAGTCCTTTGTTATTAACAGGAAGAGCTGCTCCATGTGAAGAACAAACAGCACTTCTCTTTACTGAGTGAGTCACGGTAGCAAGTTTCATTGTTTCCCTCACTGTGCGGTTGATCCTAGTGAGGCTATAAATACTACTACTAAAAAATCATATAGAGTCCAGAAATTAGCTAAATGTCTAAAAACAACATAGTAGAAATGTGAACACTCAGGTTCATCAGAGTGCTCTAAATAAAAAAAGAGTTTGGTAGAAAATGCCTCTCTAAGCATCAGTAGCCAGACAGAGATCACTGGGTCATCTTGCATCTGTAGAGCTCTTCCTGAGTGAAGATGGGGGAACTCAGAAAGCAGGTCACATAAAGAGGTACTGTGAAAGGAGACAAAAGGGGAACAGAGATTGTCGCAGATAACAAGTGTCAGTATTTCATCGAGGTGATGACAGAAGCTGAGGGTTGAGATATGCAGACAATCTCCTAAAAAGACAAAATGAATGGTATTTTGTGCATTATTTGATAAGAGGGGAAGTTACTTGATTGTTTGCCATCAGGGCTCACCAGGATGAGCAGGAAGAAAATCAATGAAGCACTTCAGATTAGACATCCAAGCAACTGCTAGAGACACAACCTCACTGTAACTCTGAGTAGATACTGAAATACAGGATGTAGCAAGTATTCAAATGAGTAAGACTTTGAAATAAGACCACAAACAGAGAAAGAGAGAGCGGAAATGTTCCAAGCTGCTCACATGCAAGGCTCGACACGAGGGCATCTATGTTTTGCTTGTACTTCTCAAAAACACACCGCAGCAAGGTCTTAATATCATCAGTGACTCAGTGGTATTGAGGGACATCTCATTTGTCACTGTTTGAATAAATGTCACAACCCCACCGTGTGCAGCACTCCTACACTGAGTGCTGCACACGGTTTTTTGATCATTTTATAGCCACTGAGATAGACATGACTTCACATCCTTCCTGCAAGAGGAAGCCCCTGTTCGCCTGCTTGTTTGGCTTTATATTTTCTGAAGCACAACTTCATAAAATTGTTCAGTCAAGATTTTTTTCAAGCCAGGTTTTGCAACCTTGACCATTCACATTGAGAGTTTCATGCTGTTCAACAAACAATCCTGCAATACATACTTCTCTATAATGTTTGTTTGAAACTTTTTAAAAAGGCTCATTTGTGAGAGTTTATGGTGTTGTTTTTGAAACGTTAATATAGTGTGAGATGCTTTTTTTTTTTTTTACACATTTTGTATAAATTTATCATATACTGTAATGACATTCTCGTCACGTCCATGTATTGTGACCGCGAAATGAAGAACTCTACCTACATAAAATTAATGAACTAAACTAAATACAGTTAAGTCAAGAAAATATCTGATCAAACAATAAACAAACCTAAGAATATGACCTGGCATTTGATTCCAACTTACAGTTTTTGATACTCAAGGCTATGTCTGGATTTCACTTAATACTCAGAAAGTACTAAGGTTCAATAAATTAAACCCTGCAGAAAACATGATAAAATCCCTTAATAACATAATCCTTATTATGCCATTCAAGCAGCCCTGACTCTGGATTGCATTAGATGGTTGAGCTATAAAGATGCTGTCTAGTTAATCATTGACACTGACAGGAGACTCCTATCTGCAGGACACACAGCATGGTACCGTTGTAGTTTAGCTATGCTACAGCATTTTATGTGTATCTTTGCTAACCATGGACATCTTTGGAGGTACAAGGGGAAATACAGTGAGAATAAAAAAAACAGGGGACCGGAGTGAGAGCTCTGGAGGGGGATTCAGTGCGGCACCAAGATAAGACGCAACTACAGCCCCAAGCTTCCTCAATAAAACACAGTATAGTCCTCCTGTCAGCCAATGGGAGGTTTCAGTCACTGGAGGACCTTGCAGCAGGATAATCCATCCCTGGTGTGACTGTTGATGAATCAGCACCATTATGGTTTTGTTGACTCAAGGGTCTGTAGTATCTATATCCTGTTGAGCCCAAACTGTCATGGGCGAGGCTTGGTTTTTGTTTTACTGTTGCCAAGCATTTTGTCTGCTTTTATTGTACACTGCTGAGCTTTTAATTTGGCAAAACAAAGAGCATAACAAGCTATACTTGATTCCTCACATTAAGTGTCTTTATGCTTCTGTGACTTATACCCAACAAGATGGTCCCTTAAATTCACAGAGCAGCACAGCACACTGATATTTATCTGACTACATCTGATACTTAAAAATGATTTCAACAAAAGGTTTAATTATATCTGAACTAAAATCGAGCTTTTCTCCCCACTATCCACTACAAAACATTTCACATCACTGATTTCAACTCCACCTAGTGGTACATAATCAACATTTAGTGTAGGGAAGACCAGCAATGTCATCTCTCTGAGGCTGCAACATTGTGGTCACAGCAAATTAAAAATAACACAAGAACATCAATGACTGAACATGTTTAGTCTACTTTTGATATTGCAGAGGAAACAGACATCCAAAGGCAGAGGCAAGATCAAAATGGTGTGACCCCAAGGAGACCCAGCAGAAAGTCTAATATTTCCTGCTTCCCCAGTAAGACAAACAGGCTTCCAGACAGCCTCAGTCCTACTGGAAATGCGATCAAAGGTAACCTGAACAGTACACAGTAGATGTTTAAATCAAATGAGAAACAGAGCACACACACATCACAAACTTTTTGTTTGTTTTTTTAATCTTTAAGTGAAAAAGGTTTTATGTGACAATATTTAATTAAAATGGTAGTGTTTTGTTGCAGCTTTCAAGTCCACAAAAGTCAGTGCAGAGCTTAAATAGTTTTTTTCTAAACTTGGATATTACCTGCAATAATAATTGGTCCAAAATTGAGAGAAAAAGAAAAGAGCGATCCCTGACAAATTTACCTAAGGGTACAAATAAAGTAACCTGATCCTGATCCCGATACCTGGTCTTATACACATTAAGTGATTTTGGCATGTGCAAACACTTACTGTTTTTAGTGAATGTAAACATTAATAATGACAGCCTTGTGAATGTGTGGGGTCAGTAGAAAAGAGGCTTTAGTGTTCTGAAAACATTTTCTCAACTTCATCTATCCAGTCACATGGAGATTCATCCTCAAAGTCTCTGTGAAGAAAGGATAAACAATACATTTTACACACTTATCACATATACACATTACACAAAAACAGTACATTCCACGTGTTCAACAGATAACACTCCCTTTACATATTAATAACTAATGTTAATAATGTTTATTTAGCTAGGTACTATGATTGTTTTTAATAATTTGCTTTCCAGACCCTAATGGTAGCTCAAAAAACAGTCCCATATACATTTTGTGAAAAGCAACCTATTACACATATTAAGATTGATACATAAAGGGCTACACCGTGCAAACTCTATTGACTCTATTGACTAACCTGCAGGTATACCTTTTTGTTCTGCTGATATACTGTATGGTTTGTCACCAGAAATAGGGGGCCTGACAGGATGACACTTGCTTGGTAACAACAATAAATCAGGGATACTTACGTGTCCTCGTCATCAGAGCGAGGCTGCAACCGGTCCTCATCTACGTCCACTTCTCGCTCAGGACCATCAGTTTCATCACCTTGCAGCTGGGAGAGAGGGCCCACCAAAGGGTCGTCACCTGAAAATGGAAACCATAACACCACAAAGGACAACTGATATCATCCACCACACTGACAAATTTCAGAGTGAAGTGACAAAAACATTCGCCTTAAGTTAATTGTGTGCTACAAAATAACATATATGCAGATATCAACAGACCTCCTCTGTTTATTAAAAAGGTGCTGAAGGCTCTGCTCAGCTGGGCCTTCTCCAACAGACTCAGAAGTCTCTCAGGAGGATCTCTGTCCCATCGTCTCCTCTGCCTGCTGTCCTCTGGCTTCTCTGACATGCGTGGAAAAACAAGAATACAACCATTACACTTCTCTAAACTTGCAGTACAAATGAAGACGTGAAAGCACTGCTTCTCTTATCGCACTTCCGTAAGTAGAACCTGTGAGGGTCTGGCTGGTTGATGCCATGCTGTCAGATGAGACGAGGGTGGCATTGGCCAACATCTGCAGAACAGTGTCTGGTGGCTTAGCAGCCCACTGCTTTCGAGGACCCAGCTCTCTGCTTTCAGAGGGGACTTCAGGTAACTTTATGCCTGCAGTAAAAGGTTACATAGTATTTGTTTTTTGTTATATTTCATGTTTTCAAGAGGGTCCTGACAAGAAATTACTACTACTCTGTAGACGCCATATGCACAAGAATCTAACAGTAATATTCAAAAACAAAGGAAAATGTAAAATATTTGGAAACCTCTGTTGCATGATGCGAAGAATGGATTATTCATGTTTATTTTTTGCTTTTAGTGTTAGTTTCTCCTTTCTTTACCTTTCTCAGGTTTGCATAAAACAAAATATCTGAAAGGATAATAGAAACAAATCAGATGATACTTTTCCTGTGTTTTTGGGTATTGTTGAGTAGGTTATCAAACGTTTATTGTGTTTTAAATCATTTGAAGGAATGGAATAAAAACAAAAATATCGCAGTGATGTGGTTCTCCCAGAATCGCAGCAGTATATCCTTTGGACGATCCTGCACTTTGACCTGGACTCTACCTTCAAATGTTGATGTTTTTATTAAAGTCTTCTCTCCCAGAAGGTTAGCCACCTTCTTTCCCTCTTCTCTGTTCCACCGACCCGTACGTCTCCCCTGTTTCTCCATCTCCATTCCCTGTAAAAGATTCAAAGCAGTGCAGTATATCAAACACATAACATCAGCTCCGAGGCCATCTGAACTAACAGCAGCTTGTCAAAAGGTCAGATTCCACCACAGCTGGGGAAGTTGTGTAAGAGTTTAAATTCTCACTTCAACACCATGTCGTGACAGGATGTTGTTATGATGGATCAGCAATCATAAAATCTCTTCAGGTTAAACTGCTTGAGTGACTTAATGCAGGAAGCTCCACCGCAGTGAGCTGCTCTTTTCACCATGCAGAATGCTCAACCGCAAGTGCACAGGTTGAGACTTTGTTTTCACCTGGGAGGGTAGATGTGTACGCAAGAGTCTAGAAACCCGGTGAGAGGTCAGGATGGTGTGCAGGGATGGCCTGTCTTTTGGGTTTGTCTTAAACATCTGCTTGACCAAATACTGCAGCTCGTAGGGCAGGTGACTGGGTAGGGGCGGGTACGCACCCCGACACACCTTAAGAATCAGGCTCTTCCAGCTGGAAGCCTGGAACTGAACACAAGAGTGAGGTGTGAGGATCTGCAGGACAACAAACCACGCCCCAACATCTGAGCCACAAAAAATACACAGCAGATAATAAAAACGTAGTAGTATTGATGTAGCCTATCTTGGCTGAAGACACAATCAAACCCACGGTACATGGAGAGAAGAGGGAGGGAATTACCGGGTGTCGCAGGGTGCAGAGCTCGTAGAGAACGCAGCCCAGAGACCACACATCGCTGCAGAACACATAAACATGAGATAACAGAGACGGTTATTCATTCACACCAGACATTCGTCATGCACTGGCACCGTCAAAAAGAATATAAGACTGATAAACCCACGCATGAGTTACATAATCACTGCTGAGCTGGGAACTCAGCAGAGAACACAGACTGTTTAGAAAATTCATTGTTGATGCATTTACTGACACATCCAAGACTGTCTCATGAAAATAATTGTATGTTCACAAGCTATGTTGATGGAAAAAACAACCCTGGAATTGAAACTCTTAGCAAGCATGGGACTGTAGTTTATTTGAATTAAAAAGTATGTCTGTTGTCTGTTTGAGATTCCCTTTAAAGAAATAATGAGGGGAGTTTCAAAAACTGTGCAATAGTAATGTCCAAAACAGAGCATAATATAACTATAAATATATGAGCAATGGGGTACATAATCTGAATGTGCACTACCTCTAAAATAATGTTCAGAATAGATACATTGCATATTGTATCTACGATGTCGCTTCTGAAATATCAGAAAACTGCACTGTTAGTGTTGTACAAACTTTTGCAGTTACCAAGTCATACATGGACAAATTTTGAAGCTCAGTTAATTTTAAAAAATAGATTTTATGATTAGATAATATCCACATATTTGTATTTAGGAGAACAATCAATACACAAGTAATACTACACTTGTGTGATGTTGATCTTTATAGTTATTGTCACAATAACTGAGTCAGAACAAGACATGTCTTAGTTTTCCACCAACCTGAGTCAATTATAAGTTAAGACTACAGAAAAACTAGTCAGAAAGAAGACAACAAAAGCTAAAAGTATTATTAAAGTAAGTTTTTTGCAAATGGTTGTATTATTTTTCTACATTATTTTATTATTCTTCTATAACTTGCATTTGTTTATTCCATATTTATATATTTCTACATTTATTTATGTCAACTGTATGTTTGTCTACATGTAGCACCTTATCACCAAAGCAAATTCCTCATAGCTGTAAAACACTACTTGGCAAATTTGGCTCCTTGTGATTCTGATACTATAAATAGTTGAGAAAACCACTTTCTGTGAAGCCAAAGGGTAATAGTACAATACAAACGTGGCTACTAAAAGCTACTACTTTGATGGTGGTGGTTTGAGAAAACCACTTTCTGTGAAGCCAAAGGGTAATAGTACAATACAAACGTGGCTACTAAAAGCTACTACTAAAAAATATCCTTGGACCAATACCATAAACTCATCCCGTCTATCAAAGGGTACGACAGAGGGGTACTTAGGCCCATATGATTGGGCTTTGGGGTACTTACAAAGGTTGGGAACCAGTGACAGATATACAAATGTCTAATTATTTAGTTAGTTAATCCATTTTTTTAATTAATGTGTTATTTGTATAGATTTTCTATAGAATTTGTATCCTGTTTCTGTGTACCCCTGGTCTCTTTCTTGTCCTGCTGTACAGCTAAATTTCCCTCAAGGGGATAAATTGTAATTTGACACTGTATGTATGTATATGGCCCTCTGTTGCACATTTTACAATTTATATGTATTCATGTATCAGCTTTTTCTCCTGTTTATTCTTCTTTGGCCTATCTTGTTCTTTACTTTAATACTTCCTGTAGCAATGATGTAAATTCCCACATGGACACTGAGCCAAAATCATTAAGGTTTCATTTTATCTTCATTTGGTAACATACCTCTTATTGTTGTATGGCTTGTTATCCCAGATTTCAGGAGGCACATAATATGGTGTCCCAACATATGTATGAGCATGGGTCTTTGAACTTCAAAACAATTACAAAAATGAGTTCAGATGAAACAGCAGCAAATCAAGTGCAGAGCATTAAATTAAAAAAGGAAAACTATAAATTGTTGCCTTTCTATTTTTGTACCTGTTCAGAATACACGCTGAGCCAAAGTCCCCGAGCTTGATTGTCCCATCATCTGTCAGGAAAATGTTCTAGGTAAGGAAATGAAAGGGAAGTGATGACTTAACATGAAGCAAAAACCATCGCTAAATGATATTATGCATTAGTGGGAGGTAATGTTGTGATCTCATCTCGATCAGCAATTTAATCGTTGTTCATTTCACTCCACAGTGCTCACACTGATGAGAAAAATCTGATCTGATCGAAGTTCTGAATGTCAGTTCTATATATAATAACAAATGTAACTGTTTTTAGACATAACATAAAATCTATTAACATGTATATTAAATTACTAGCTATAATGTTAGGGACCACTGTACCTTGGACTTCAAATCTCTGTGCAAAACCCGTTTATCATGGATATGCTGTGCGGCGGCACACATTTGAGCAAACCATTTCAAGATCTGGGAAAAAATGATGTCAATGTAACCAAATGTAAAAAAAAGGAACAAAACAGTAAAATAAAATTGTGAGAATAGTTGCAGGTAGTCAAGGCCTACATCATCAACACAGAACTGCATAGCTTTCTGTTGCCGGATCCTCTGGAGCAGGTCTCCTCCACTGCAGTACTCCATAACAATACACAGGAGGTCATCAGCTGAACAAACACAAACACATTGCCTATTCTGCAATCCACACAATAATAACTGTATGTCACAAGGGTCCAAAATGTCTTGCAATACGTTTTAAAGGGAGTGTTACGTGTTTGATTACCTTCGAATGCCTCCCTGAAGGCCACAATATGAGGATGTTTCATTCTGGACAGCAGGACGGCTTCTCTCCTGGAATTCTCCAATTTGGACTGATTCTATAAAAATGCAAATACATGTATGAATGAATTCTCTATTATGCAATTCTCTGTGTATGCAACAATCTGGTGGGTTACCAGCACACCGAAAATAACATTTCCATATCCGACCCCAGGCAACAGTCTGGATTCAAATAACTTGTGTGCAGCAGTGTAGTTTACATGGTGGTGCAAATCCAGCATATCTGTATGTTTAATTCACTATTTTATGACAACTATGATGTTTTAACACTAAGCACAACTGCATCCAATACACTGATCCACCACCCAGTTGAGGATAAAGCTACAGTATGTACAGTAACTTACATCACTGTGTTCGTTTGCACATACCTTTGGCAGCTGAACTTCCTTGATCACATAGTTCTCCTGACTGCTTTTACACCGGACTAACAATGCCCGACCGAAAGACCCTTCACCGATGACTTTCAGGAGTGAATATCTTTCCATAGAGCTTCTTTATGAAGCACAAAGAGAGACCACAAAGGATAGGTACAACAACTAATCTAGCTACAGTGGATTGGGCCGGGGAAAGTGGCAACTTACAGGAAGATTTCTTGTTTTAGTTTTCACATTGAGACATTCGTAATAAAAGACGAATGCACCAGGATCTACCTGTACTCGTGTTGTTTGGTTGACCGCTACTTCCTTATTATTGTATGACGTAGGGCGAGGCGCACATGTAGGCCACTCCGGGGCGTTGCCGCTGGATGGCGGTAGATCATAATATCTAAATTCAAGATCGAGACCATCAAGACTCATGGACGTTTCCATAAAAACCATATAACGTGAATAATTAATTAGTTAAGAATTCGCCCAAGTAATTTAATGGTTTAATATTGGAGTATTCTGTGCTTATATAGGCTAATACACTTTATCACACATTCCATGCATGTGTTTCTAAATCCATTCTGTAATGTTGCTGTTAAAACATTAGATAGATAGATAGATAGATAGATGATAGATAGATACTTTATTTATCCCGAGGGAAATTCAAGTATCCAGCAGAATACGAAACATACATACATTAAACATACATTAAACCTATATTAAAATATAATTAAAATTAAAATAACTTATAACACAGTAAAACAGTGCAAAAACAGTAAACAGTGCAAAATGGATGGCAGATGTAAGTAGAAATTGTTCTTTTAAAGTTAAAATAAATTAAATTATAATTATAAAAGTAAAGGTCTGAACAGACCAGCACCCTCCCACTGCCTCCTGACCTAATCTACTGCCGGACAAATTGAAAAAGTGACCCAGTGCGGTTCAGTGTTAGAGATCCGCTGAGGCGTTGACCTCGACTTGAGAGGCGTTTTATCTGACACAGCTAGTAATCGCACAAGCGAAATCGGGGGGAAATTTGTCTGTCGGCCGGGTCACGGCATTGGTGGAAGGCAAAACACTGGCCGTGTTCGAAAAGTAATGGGGCGGCGTAAAAAAAATGTCTGGGGAGGAAGTGTTTCCTTTCATGCTTCTGCAGAAAGACATCCTTTTTAAGTCATGTTATTTATTGTTGTATATAAAGATACTTTATAAATCATGTAGGAACCTACGTGACTTAACGGCAAGAGCCCGGATAGCTCAGTCGGTAGAGCATCAGACTTTTAATCTGAGGGTCCAGGGTTCAAGTCCCTGTTCGGGCGGGCGAAGTTTTAAAATTCTCAAGGTATTTCAGAGTGAAGAAAACTGCTACTTCACGCTGTCACAAGTGAAGTTGATGGACAGAATAGGCTACAATCTATCAGTGAAGTTGATACACAAGGCTTATCCCTAGTGTGACACCAAAATCAAATGAAACCTTAACACTTGTGTTTAATGGTTTTGCATTACAGCTCCACGTTTTGCTAACCATAATGCTCTTTTAGAAATGACTGTGTGAATGTATAGCTGTGTGAGACATATTCCCCTCCAGAGAAACTTTGTCTTAGGCACCAAAAGCAATCTGTAAAAAATTTATTTTATTCACATTAATTCTTGTATATGTGGAATTGTAGAACATGAATTCCTCCTGATGTGATTAAAAGCTCCCACATTCTCAGGAACAGTACAGAGGACATGACCTACGTGCCCATTCTCTGTTTGAATGTGATACTGGTATTCATTTATATTCATAACATTTGAAAATCATATTGTGAGATAATGCTGTGCAGACTTGTGAAACCAATTTGCATGAAAACTGCATGACACTGAAAAGATAATGTAACACTGACAAAAATAAATTCTGACTTGACAGTCACTGTGATGATCACAGAATTTAAGCAATTTCTAACACTTCGCTAATATATTTTCATATCACAAAGCAATGAATGGAGAACACAGGCTGACAGGAACAACAGGAAAAAATACATCCACGCCACAAACACAAAATTAAAGAAAACTCACAGATAGTACAACTTTTCATCACAAATGTCTTTTCATTGCAAACATTTGAAGTGAAATGAATTAGTTGTCCAGGGGGAGTTTGTTTAACAGAGCTTGTACATCACCAAACATTACCATTAAATTTCAATTGGCTGACCTCCTGTTGGGATCGCTCTACATGTGATACATGTATACATGTGCCACAAAAATGTTCATGTACATGTAGGTGAAACCACGGCCCTTTAAAGAGAACTCTGGGTGAAACCATATACAGTCTATGGGTGAAACGTGCTGCGGGGTCTACTTCTTGAAGTGTCACTTCCTGTTGCCAGTAGGTGGCACTATGACCATGGGCCTTTCTCAATACCAAGTTTGCCAAGTAAGGATTATTCAGTTATTAGTGGTAGGTCAAGTGTTCAGTGTGTTTTTTCATAAAGCATGTACAGTTTGGTACAGATTTGATCATGTACACAGAAGTTACAACTTCCTGTGTCATGGCGAAGCCTGGAACTTCGCCGCCATTAAACAAAACCTAAACTTCACCACATAGCATCATCACTGTCTTAAGGCTTTTCTGATCTGGATGGCACATCTGCCACAGAAATTTAGTAGGCTACCACCATAGACTGTTTAAAAAGGCTACTCCTTGTGTTGCGGGAGCTGCTCTCCAGGGGGCACTAGCGAGTCATTTTGCCACACCCATGCATGAGACCTTTTCATGTGGGAAGCGATTGACACACCTAGTCATCAGCTTGTCAATGCTGATGGGCGGTTATTAATGTATGAGGAATTCCTCTCTGAATTCAGTTTATCACTTACGCCAAAGGAATATGCAGTGGTTTTTGATGCTGTGCTAGCTATTGAATAAGAATCAGAATCAGCTTTACCATGATGTGCTTACTTACAATAAAATAATAATACAATAATAAGATCACAGACACACTATAGTATAGTGAACAAATATATAAACTATAAACAAAAACATATAGACCGATTGAGACAATAGTGCAGTGAGCAGAGCGCAAAGGATGCAGGAGTAAAATTATTATCATGTAAATGTTGGAGGTGGATGAGATCTTCAGGTACACAGACACATACATGCATACATGTACTCATTTACACAGTGTGATGGAGCATATAGTGCAAAGGATGGTGGAATAAATAAGAGAAGGAAAAAGATGTCATTTTCTGTAGCCATCAGTTGGTATTATTATGTGGAAAATTCGATATCCACAAGAAAAAATGGACTGACTCCAAACCACACTGGACACTTTGTCCAAGAACTGCATCAGTCTAGCACCACAATTAAAAACATTAAGAACAAGAAGGCAATTAAGACTAATTACGTATTTGACAAATTTCTTTTGGACAGTTAATATATTATTTTGAATCCAATTAACTTTTTAAAATTTTATTTTTAGGGCCCCAGCACGAATTGTGCGAAGGGACTACTTATTTTTTCTTTCTTTCTTTTTTCTGCAAAGTAACCTTAATTTTGGGGGCCTAAACATATTTGAAAACTCACTAAACTTTGCACAAAAATTCAGGAGTGTCAAAATTCTTTGTATTTTATGGGTTTTGCGCATGGGCGTGGCAAAATGGCTCGCTAGCGCCCCCTACAGAGCAGCCCCTGGACAAAATTTCACCCATGTGGATGAAATTTCTGTGGTACGTGTATCATGTCCAGACGCACAAAGAAGCCTCTTGGAGCCATTGCCTAAACCAAACAGGAAGTCAGCTATTTTGGCGATTTACACACTTTAACAAACTCCTAGGAATTTAGTCCGACCGAAATGATTTGCCAAAAAACTGGAAGTAACTGTAACGTTCTACATGCTCACATCTGCACCAAATTTGGAATACATTAAAAGAGTTGCGCCCTGAAAACACCCATATGCCAATATTCACTCAAAGTCATTGCGCCACCTGCTGGCAACAGGAAATGACACATTTTATGCTGTAATGTACTGTTTCGAGCAGGTTGGACATATGAACTTCAAAACTGTCCTAGGAAACCCTTAACACATTGATGAGGCCATGTCGTAAAACTTGTTAATTTTCGGTTAACGGCTTGGCAGTGGCGTGGCGGCGAAGTGCCATGTTTCGCCATGATACAGCGAGTTCTGCTAACTTTACTGTACATGCTCAGATCTGTACGAAATTTTACACGTTTAATAAGACTCCTGCCTTGAAAACATGTACATGCCAACATTCACCCATAGTCATAGTGCCACGTGCTGGCAACAGGAAATTAGTTTTAACAAAGCAACCCCCATGGCACGTTTCACCTACATGTATTAAATTTCTGTGGCACATGTATCATGTCCAGACGTACCAAAAAGCCTCTTGGAGTGATACCCTAAACCCCACAGGAAGTCGGCCATTTTGAATTTTAAGGTCATTTTTGGATGATTTACACACTTACTTACGCACTCCTCCTAGGGATTTAGTCCGATCGACTTCAAATTTCTGCTGTGCGTTCTAAAGGCATTGACGATGAAAAGTTGTGCTATCTGTGAGTTTTTTGTCAATGGCCGTGTCCATGGCGTGTTGTCCAAAATTGATGATTTGCCGTGAAACAAGAAGTTGTTATAACTTAAGTGTGCATGCTGAGATCTGCACCAAACTGTCCATGTAGGATGAGAGTCCCGCCCCTTAGTGTACGCTCCAGTCTGTACCAAACTTTACATGGTCGATAACAGTCCTGTCCTGAAGACATCTACATGAAAATATTCACTCAACCTCATAGCGCCACCCACTGGTAACAGGAAGTAAGCCGTTTCTGACAAAACCTGGCCGCCTCACACCTTGACGCGGTACACGTGCGAAGGCACGCCCAACGCTGCTTGCAGCTTTAATTATTTATGTATTTTCTCTTTTGTACATGTAGCCTACCCCTGATTGTTTTGTGTTGTAAATATCCAAGAAAAATTAGACACATCTAGTAATTAATTTTTAATGAGAGGCGAGCGGGTAGAGATGCACGAGCAATCTGCAAGGCGACAAGTAGGCACAGCGCGTCATTGGGCGGAGACTGATCTTGGCTGTGTGAGTTTCCTTAACAATTATTGCGACATAAATAGCTCATTTAGTTTGTACTATTGACTCTTTCAATAATTTGTAGAAGATAGCCTGTAGGTCTGTTGACATGTTGTGCCATGATTTCTACCCATAGAGCGGTGTTTACTCGCGGTGCGCCTGTCTGTTAATGGGTCTGTTCCTTTTTATATACAGTCTGTGGTCTTAAAAGGCCTTAAAATCTTCAATAGCG